AACTTCACTTTTTGGGGAGGAGTGCCTCTGTCTGGTTGAGTGCAAAAAACAAGTGTGAGCTGTGTGCCTTGGGAGTGTTAATTTGAAAATGACAGCAAGCGGATACAATTTCAGGTGTTGGCTTGCTGTACTCTGGACAGCTTGTGACAGTTTACACTCTTCTGCTCAGTTGTTCATTCTATCTTCAGCTTTACCAAATAATCTAAAATAATACTGGCTTCTTGGCAGACTACACACTGAAATGCTTAGATATAAAATGCTTAGATATAAAACTCTCCTGGTCTGGCATACTTGTCTTATCTAACTTTTTATTTTTATGAAAGAAGTAATTGTAGAGTAACTAATGACATTAGTTTTGTCCACTGGAATGTGTGCTGACTTTTAAAATAGAAAATTAACTCTTCTATTGTATAGTGAACACAAAATGCTGCACAAGCTCTGAACAACTTGGCTTGTATAATCTCATGCAGTTCTCTTTCTAAAGGTTTGCTTTTTTAACTATAGATATGTTTCATGCGTCCTTGGATGTCCCTATGAAGGGAAGATTTCTGCAGCTAAAGTTGCAGAGGTGAGTTCATAAACATAACCAGAATTTCTGGGATATTTTTGGCTCCTTCTGGACTCTGATGGCTGGAGAATGTGTTGAACCATTAAACTAAAGATTGGGGGAAGAGACGGAGGGAGGTTGCAGCTATCTAGGCTGCCTAGCTGATATGGATGGGGACATTGGGCAGGTGAATGTTTCCAGAGAAGAGTCTACTGGCATGCTATGGTTCCTCTGTACTGCTCTATGCAGCTCTGGGGAAGGCCATGACAAAGCTGTCTTCTCATCGTCTTGGCTTTTGGGCAGGTCTCAAAGAAGATGTACTCGATGGGATGCTATGAGATCTCCCTTGGTGACACCATTGGCATCGGAACCCCAGGGAGCATGAAGGAGATGCTGGCAGCGGTCATGAAGGAGGTGCCAGTGGGGGCTCTTGCTGTTCACTGCCATGATACCTATGGGCAAGCCCTTGCCAACATCTTGGTGGCACTTCAGGTAGGACTCTTGCTTTGCAGCAGAGCACACTTGCTTGAGTTTCTTCTACTTTTGTTTTTTTGTGAACCATGTTTTGGGAGCCTTTTATTTAAGGAGAATTTACTGAGAATGGTGTTCTTGCAGATGGGTGTGAGTGTGGTCGATGCTTCTGTTGCTGGCCTTGGAGGCTGCCCCTATGCCCAGGGAGCATCGGGAAATGTTGCTACAGAGGACCTGGTGTACATGCTGAATGGCCTGGGCATTCACACGGTAAGTGCGAGTGGCTTGAGTGCAGAGCTCAAGGACCTGGCACAGAGAGCCCTGGAGTAGGGCAGGGTACTGTGGGCCTTGTGCAACTTCCTGTCCCCACTGCCCTGTGCTGTGCCATGCTCCTGGGGCAGTGTTGTGGCAGTGGCACTGACCTTGTTCCCTCTGTGTCCTGGAAGGGTGTGGACCTGCAGAAGCTGATGGATGCTGGCACCTTTATTTGCAATGCTCTGAACAGAAGAACCAATTCCAAAGTGTCCCAGGCCTCATGCAGACTGTGATGTACCCTTGATGTGGGTCAAGGACAGTGTAGCTGTTGTGCTAGCCCTGCTCCCTCCACGGTGTTGCCTTTGGGGCTCCTCCCAGGGCTGTAGCAGGAGAGGAAGTGCATAATCTGATGGAATCTCCGAAGAAATCAAAAAATGGGAATATTTTCCTGAGATGTGGGAGGAGAGGAGGGGGGGGAGAAGAGGCAGCTGCTGTGCAGCTGCGGGTGGTGGGCTCAGCACTAGTGTTGCCATTGTGATTTGGGTACCAGGAGGAGCCATTGGCCTTCTCCGTGGTGCTCAGCACTGTGAGAACCTTCAGTATCTGTTGTAAGATACTTCTGAATAATCGGCGTAATAGACACATTGTTTGATCTAAACTAATAAAGATGTCGTGTAATGACTCGAGATCGCTGCCGGGCTCCTGTTCCACTTGCGGCCTCCCGCCGCCGGGGGGGGGGGGGGCACCCCGCCGCTCCCGGCTCCGCTTGCCGCTCGCCCCGCCAATGGCCGTAGCCGTTCAGGCGGAAGCTCCCGCCCTCAGCGCCCGGCTTCCGGCCAGGCTGACACGTCCGCAGGTGGTTCGGAGCGCGTGGCAGCGGGGGCGGGAGGCCCCGGCCGGCCCGGCCTTAAAGGCGGGGCGGATTTGGGCGGAAGGTGAGCGGCAGGATCGCGGCCCGAGAGTGGCTCCTTACCCCGCGGGTCGCTGGTGGTGATCTGTCCGGAGCGGGCCGGGCTCAGCTTCCCCCTACCCCTGCAGCCATGGCGGAGCGCATCCTGGTGACCGGCGGCGCGGGTTATATCGGCAGTCACTGCGTGCTGCAGTTGGCCGAGGCAGGCTACGAGCCCCTGGTCATCGACAACCTCCGCAACGCCGCCAGAGGTACGCGCGACCCTGCCGGCTTCGATCCCTCCGATGCGGAGCCTTCGGACCCACCCCCCCTTCCCCCCAGGGCCCGGCGCGCTCCCCGAGAGCCTGCAGCGCGTGCAGCGCATCGCGCGGATGCCCATCGCCTTTCAGGAGCTCGACATCACGGACGGGGCCGCGCTGCAGCAGCTCTTCAGCACGGTGCGGCCGCTGCCTCCTGATTCCCCGCGCACTGAATAGCCCTGGGCGAGGACCGAGCTGCTATTGCCTTAACGCGTCTCTTCTCCCTCAGCACCGCTTCTCGGCCGTGATGCACTTCGCGGGGCTGAAGGCAGTGGGTGAGTCTGTGCGACAACCATTGGAGTACTACGGTGTGAACCTGACTGGCACCATTCGGCTGCTGGAGGTGAGTGGGAACGGGAGTGGGGCTGCGGCACGATGCGGTGCTGTGGGGCATGATGTGGTGCCGTGTGCTGGGCTCTGCAGTGCTGCTCCCCGCTCCTAGGCCATGGAAGCACACGGCGTGAGGAACATCGTGTTCAGCAGCTCCGCCACTGTCTATGGTGACCCACAATACCTGCCCCTGGATGAGAAGCACCCAGTCGGGGGCTGCACCAACCCCTATGGCAAATCTAAGTACTTCATCGAGGAGATGATCCAGGACCTCTGCAAAGCAGAGAAGGTGCGGGGCTGGAGCATTGGTGTTATGTCACAGTGTGCTGGGGTTGGGGTCAGGGCTGCCACGTCTCTGTCTCTCCCCAGGGCTGGAACGCCATTCTCCTGCGCTATTTTAATCCCATTGGTGCCCATGAGTCTGGAATGATCGGAGAAGACCCTCAGGGCATACCCAACAACCTCATGCCCTACGTGGCACAGGTACTGCCCAGCAGGAGCTGCAGATTCGCAGTGCTGTGTGTGGCAGAGGCTGAGCAGATTATGTGTCTGTTCCTCTGCACAGGTGGCAGTGGGGCGCCAGGAATTCCTGAGTGTGTTTGGAAATGACTATGAGACAGCAGATGGGACGGGTGCGTTACTGTGGATGGGTGGTGTGAAGCTGTCCCGTGACTCAGGAGGACTTTGTGCTCATCCCCTGTCCCCACAGGTGTTAGGGATTATATCCACGTTGTGGATTTGGCCAAGGGACACATTGCTGCTTTGAAGAAGCTCAAAGAGAGCTGTGGCTGCAAGGTATGAGAGTGGGGCTTGGGTGAACAAAGGGTGTCTGGCTCTCCTGCCTTTGCAGCAGGAGCTGATGTGTGTCCCTTGTCCTCCTCCCAGATCTACAATCTGGGCACTGGCACAGGCTACTCTGTCCTGCAGATGGTCCAGGCCATGGAGAAGGCCTCAGGAAGGAAGGTAGGTGCTGAGTCAGTGACTCCCGCAGTGCTCCCTGCCTGCTTGAGAGGCCCCCATGCCAGTGTTGGTGCCTTCTGCAGAGCCCTGGCAGTTCCCTGCCACATAGTGCTGCTCTCCCTGCAGATCAAGTACAAGATCACGGGCCGGCGGGAGGGAGATGTGGCTGCCTGCTATGCTAACCCAGAGCTTGCTGAGCGTGAGCTGGGCTGGAAAGCTGCATTTGGCCTGGACAAGATGTGTAAGAACATCCCCCCTCCCATCTGCACCATGCCCACCTCCCAACCCTTCCCTCACTGTCTCTCTCCTTGTGCAGGCGAGGACCTGTGGCGCTGGCAGCTGCAGAATCCCACAGGATACAGCAAGAACTGAGCCCAGGTCCGAGGGCTCGTTCTACGGTCCTGGGTTCAGGGCCTGCCCACCCCCACCTGCCTCCATGCTTCCTCATCCTTACCCCACCAGGTCCTCTGCATCTTACAGAACTGAGCCAAGGCCCAGCCTCACTTTCTAGAGCACTAAATCCTCTCCCAGAAAGGTCTGGGACCTGGCACAGGAGGGCGCTTGGTGGGGGTGCATACTGCAGGGGAAGATGTTTCCAGTGCTCCCACATGCAGTCTTGGGTGACCAAACTGTGGAGGAAATTGCCCATTCTTTATAGCCCCAGCCCTGGGACCTAAAAGGAGGCCTGGGCAAGGACCTCCCACCTCTTGCGTGGTCCCAGGCCTTCCTCTCTTCCCCCACAGGACCACAGTCTGAAGCCCCTCAAAGGACCAGCCCCTGCTGCCTGCCAGGGGCTCCCCTCCCTCCCCCTCAGGTGATTTTGGGGACCAAGTCTTGCCTGCTACGTGCTGCTGTGGGGCTGGAGGAGCCCCTGCCTGCAGCCGTGAGGGATCTGGTAGCTGGTTCTGCTTCCACAGTACCTGTGCAGCTGCTTCTGTAATCATGTTCCTAAAGATTGCTCAGGAGCAGGCTCTGCTTGGCTGTCACACACTGATCCTATTTATTACCGGCAGCAATACTGGCTCCCTTAGGAAATGATGACTCAGCTAGCCCAGTTTGCTGTCATGTAGATTAATAACTTATGTTACTAAATTATGAATAGAGCTTTTGATTTGTTTCTAAATAAATTTTCTTACTTTCTGAGTAGCAGCTCTGTTCTATGCCTGCTGCATCTAGGCTGAGCTGCTGGGGCACAGCCAGCGGAGAGTGAATGACAAACACTGCCAGCTCATATGGGAGAGGTTTATGATTTATTTACCTTGTATCTGACTCTGTGGACCACACACAAAAAGAGACCAGACGAGGAAGACAAAATAGAGCGAAAAAGAAGGAAAAAAAAACCAACCCTAACAACGAAAAGGTGTTTTAAGGAATGGAGAGAAGCCATTCTCCCTCCCTGGATCCTCAGCACAGCCCAGCTTAGCACGTGCTGCTCCCTGGGAGCAGGGAATGTGCTACAGAGCTGTGCCTGAGAATAGCCACGGCTCCACAGCCCCTGCTGGCCCCACCATGCGCCCAGTTCCAGTTCGCAGCTGAGATCGGGCTGCCTACCCCCAAGCCTCACTCCCCTCCTCTTGCCAAGAGCAGGAGGGACAGGCTGCAGCAGTTTTAAACACACCAAGCAGAAGAAATAGCAGGACATAATCCCAAGCAAGGGGAAAAGCTGGGCTCCCCTCATGCCAGCAGTGTTTGCTGGTTTAAGACTTTCTAAAGGAAAAAACCGAAAGCCCAACACAACCCAAAAAACCAAGGATGGGTCTGACAGACCCGACTCTCCAGTAAGCAGGTTATTGCTTTGCACATCCCCAGGACTGCAACGAGGTTTCCTCTGTCCCACACAGCCCCTGGGCACAGCTGCAGGCACCAAGCAGGGCTGCGCAGGGCGAGAACAGAACAGACCCACAGAGGCAGCACAGGGGAAGGAGCTGCACCCCGTGGCCCAGACAGGTTGGTTCGTTTTGTTTCTTTTTTCAAAGAAGACAATGACAGCTCCAGCCCAGCGGGCCCAGCAGTGCTGCGGGCTCAGCCCGGGCAGGTGAGAAGGGCAGCACTGCTCAACAGCCTCTGCCCGTAGCCTGGCAGGAGGGGAGAGGGTGACGGGAGCCCACCTGCAGCACTGGAGGAGGTGACTCTGGGCTGTGCCCTTCCAGGCCAGGGAGAGGCACAGCTTCAGCTGGGTGAGGGGCACGGTGCTGGCCCTGGCCAGCCTGTGATTGTACACTGAAAGGCCAACACGGTCTCCACCCTTCACCCAGACCCAAGCAGCACAGAGACCCACGCCATGCTGCCCCACAGAACCAGCACAGCAGCTCCCAGGCATTAGATGCTGGTGAGGTAATGACTGGGAGCCAACCTGTTGCCTCCAGCCATGTCAGCCGGGGCCAGGATGCCTCATCCCACTCTCCACCTCCCTGAGCCAGCCAACTCAGGTCCAAAGGGAAGGAGAAGCAGCAGCAAGAGACATTAAGGACCATTCAGCACAGGGTAGGCGTTGTGGCAGAGGTGCTAAGCAGCCAGCTGTAAACAGCAGCACCTGGATGCAGAGCTGGGCTGATGGAGGGTGAGATCCCTCTGGGCCCCCATCCAGGGCTGAAGAGGAGATTGTAAAAGCAAAGACAGGAAGAGGACGAAGGAGGTGATTATCTGTAGGACACAGCTGCTGCTAGCCCACGGGAGTGTGCGTGTGCGACAGGGCAGGGGCCACAGCCCCATGCAGAGGTGTGGGAGCTGCACAGCTGTCGCTCTGCCAGCCCCTGGGGCTGGGGCAGCCTTTGACGGTACCAACCCAGAGCAGAGCCTCTCCCTGGGCCTTGAGGATTCTGCAGGAGAGTCCCGGGTTCCTGAGCTCTGACTGAAAACCCGTGAGTCACCTGAGTAGAGGGCGAGAGCAGCCATGAGGCCTTGTCCCGTGCCCGCCCCCCTCCTCCCGCTGCACCAGGCGTGTCCCACCCCTAACACTGTTACGGAAGAAACAAATAACAAAAATAACTGGCTTGCCCCACGCCAGCCCCACACACTGCAGTGCCTGAATGGGAAACTGAGAGAATGGTGGTCCCCACGGAAACTGCTCAGAGTGAGAGGAGAGAAAAGGTATCTCAAGGCTCGCCTTAGAGAGCTCCGACCTCAGCTCTGAGAGCAGCAGGGGGGCAGGGCACCCCCGGCAGAGAGGAGGCAGCGCAAGGAGATGGGAAGAGGTGGGGGCCAGACTGCGGTGGGAGGCAAGGGTGGGTGCCATGGCTTCCGTTTGCAGCAGACGGGTCACAGGGCAAAGATTGGCAGCTGCAGCCTCGGCATCCTTCCCTGCGACAGTCTCGACTGGCTCTCCTTAGATCCGGGGCAGCAGCTTCTCGATGAACTCCTTCACCGCCATCATCTCCTGCAAGAGAGCAGAGCCCATCGCACCAGGGCTGCTCAAGGGCCATGCCCACAAACCGATTCCAAAGGTGTGGCTGTGAAAGCCCCTTCCCCTCCCTCTGCCCAAGGCACTGACCTGAGGACAGGAATTGTGCATCACACCAGGGTAGGTTTTGAACTGGACCTTGGCAGGGGTGACAACTGATTTCAGCTTCTCAGCTGTGAGGGCGCCGAAGCGGACAGGGATCATAGGATCCATCTCCCCATGACACTGCAGGATGGCAATGTCCTTGTTCATGCTGTTACTCGCTGCCTGCAACAAGGAAGAAGCACTTAAGGGTGCCCAGAGAGGGGATCCCGCAAAGGCAGGTGCCCCATAGACACGCAGGGTAGCAGCAGGGCAGGGTACCTGTGGGAAGGCCTTGTGCAGTGGGAGCCAGCAGCTGAGCGCCACGATGCCAGCCAGCTGGTGCTGGCAGGTGAGAGCCGTGTACAGCGACAAGGCACCGCCCTGCAGTGAGGAGGAAGGTGTTGGCGCCACGTGGCCACACAGCCCCAGCTCTCGGCCCCTTCCCTGCCAGCAAAGCTCCTCCCCGTCTTTAGGAAGGAAAGAAGGGGCCCAAGCCCTGTGTCTGCCCTGCCCCACAGCCCCATGCAGCTCAGCTCACCTGTGAGAAGCCTCCCAGGATGATGCGGTTGGGTGGGATTCCATTTTTCATCTCATGCTCGATAATTGCTTTAACTGGAAAACAACAGAGAAATGGTCACTAAAAGCAGGGGCATTGACCAGCATTGCCTGAGATGTGCACAGCACACAGGGACAGGCAGCCTCTAGAGGTCCCACAGACTGAATGAGTTTGGCTGCAGCCTGGGAGAAGTGGGCTGGAACCACAGGGCAGGAGAAAGGAAGGAGAAGTAGAAACAAGACACCCGCCCCAGAGAAGGAGAGGCACCCAGGAGGCACCCAGAGGCATCCAAAGCCTCTTACTGCTCTCTGCAGCTTTCTTGATTCCGGCTTCATCTTCAGGTGCATCTGGAGTCAAGCCCATCAGGTCAAACCTGGAAGAAACAGCACAGTCAGCCCCAAGCCTCAGCCAGCACCCGGAGCGCAGAGGGAGAAGGGAGTCGGGTGCTCTTCCCCAATCCTTCTCACTCCCCACAATACCCCTCAAGGATTCCACCCTCTCTGGAAGACCTCACCTCTGCCATCCAAAGCACTCACCAGGAAGGCATCACCATTTTCATGTTCAGGGTTACTGGGATCCGGGGTCTGCAGAGAAAATAATTTGGATGTTCCAGGGAAACAAGTGGCAGAAGGGGCCCGCAGCTGCAGGACGTCTTTACCAAAGGACCGTGGCAGGCTGGGGCACCCGCCCAGCCCTCCCAGGACCCCTTACCAATCACTTACGCATGAGGGCAAATGTACTTCACGTAGGGGAGGCGGATGGAGGAGAGAGCTTCAGCCCAGCTGTGTCTGGGGAGAGAGGAGAACAGAGAAGCCTGAGCACCTGGGGATGTCGATGAAGATGAGAGACTTCCCCTCAAGGATGCTCAGCTTTTATGCTCCTACTCCCTGGCCTCAAGCAGCTCAACCCTCACGAATCTCCAGCAGCACAAAGAGCTCATTAGCTGGAGGCAGGAGAGCTGCCATCAGCAAGCAAAGGGGCAGAACCTTCTGTGCAGGGAGCAGTCTTTTGCTGCTGCTGTATCTCACACTGTCCGTTAAGGCAGCCTTGCACACTCACTCAGATACTCCCAGCCCTCCCAAGGATGGGAAAAAGTATGGCACCTGTCTGTTTGTCTTAAAGCAGAAAAATCAAACCCAGAGGGGATAGGGAGCATCATAAATATTCAAGCTCAAACTCAGACAGCCGCTGGCCAGAGATTCCCTGTTTGGGTAGCACAAGCTCAGCTGCTGTGGCTGAGATCAAAGGCCCAGACACATCCTTGAGATGCTCTGTGCAAAGCAGCAAATGGCCAGGCCCACATCTGGCCACGTGACACAGACGCAGCTCCAGCAATACTCACCCTGTGTCTCCAAGGCCATGTAAAAAAATGACCTGTTAAATAAAGCAGAAAAACGAATTAGCTGATGTGATGACTGTGTACCAGGAGAGAGACAGGGACATTTAGTCACTAAGCAGCAGAGAATCAAACAGGCAGAAATTAGCTGACGCCAACGACATTCCTTTGCAGCTCTGAGCATTAAAGATGGGCGGAACAGGCACGCCATCCCCATAATCGCTGTGCCACAGGGCCCTGGGTGTCACCTTCCTCAGCCCAAGCCACCAAAAATCCCAGGAAACTCATCCTCACTGCTCCCCATCTAAGAGCAGAGCAGCCCCAGAGCCAGAAGGGCCGGAGGACAGAGGGGTGAGGTAGGAGGGATCCCCACCAATGCAGCCCCCTTACCGCGGCAGTCTCCCGCTCTGCCCCTGAGACAGTCACTGCATCAGCGAGGAGGGGGACAGACATGTTGTTACCACACATACACCGAGAGACTCAGATACTGGCACCTGTGGGGCAGAGGGACAAAGGTGAGGTAGGAAAATAACTCTAAGCCAGCAAATGCTGCCCACAATGCAGCTCTGTAGACACACAGGAGCCAGGCGAGTAGGGCCACATGCTTGTGGGGCATGAAGAACATTAAAATTAGCTCAGTGACACCTTATAACCAAAGCTATTCCAGTGACAGCAGCAACATGGGCAGGGAGTAGCCTCAGCATTCTGACTCTTGGTGAGGCGAGGAGGAGCCTGACCCAAATCTGCAGCAGTGGGAAGCAGGAAGCGCCAGAGCAGGCACGCAGCAATTTTTATGGGCATTGATGGCTGTGTAAGAGCTTCAGCTCCTTATGGAACCATCCAAGGATGAGCCAAGCTGTTAGTCCACAGACCCCGGGGCAGCAGAGCCCTCCTGTACTGTCTGCACAGTTCATGTAAGGTGCTGTGCTTCACACAATAGGCACAACTCCCACCTCTGGCAGCAGCCCATGCTCAGCACTAACTAGATGGGAGTGCTTCGGAAGCATCATCTCCTGGCTCCCATCGGGAACACAATCAGACTGCAGTGTACCCTGTCTGGGCTACGACCTGCATGGTTTGTCTCACTGAACACTCTTCAGCTTATCCCCAGCTCCAACAAAAACACTGGAAGCTGGCAGATGCACGCCTACGCACTGCCATGTGTACTCCAGGGTCAAAACAAGCAGACAAACAGCACCTGCCAAAATCCCTGGCAGCCACAGCCACAAATAACAGCAGCTCTCCTGTGGCCTTCTTGGGCACAACACAGCCAACACGAGGCAACAGGAGCTGCAATTCTATCAGACAGATAGCCTGAAAAGTGCGGCCCGGAGCAAACAGCACCGCAGCACGATTCGGTTGGAAGAGACCTTAATGTTCACCCCCTCTGCCCCGTGCGGTGGGCTGGCTAACCCACATCTGCTCAGGCTGCCGAGGGCCCACATAGCCCACACCGGAGCTCTGCCGTCCCCACGGGAGTCCGGGGCAAAGAAAGAACTCCAAGCGCTGCCCACAGTGCCGCACCCCACAGCGCCCACCTCCATCCCCCACGAGAGAACATCTGCGTGTTCCCATCCGCTGCCACGCGAACACCGCGACCCGCGGGGCCGAAAGGTGAGCAAGACCCCCCACCCCGGACCGCCAGAATCGGACGAGGCCGCGACCGCCCGCGACCGCCCCCAGACCTGCCGCTGAGCAGCGTAGGGTCACTCCGCTCCGACGGAAGTAGCAGCGGCGCCGCGAGGCGCTTAATGACCATCGCTAAATGATGGGCCGCGGCCCCGCCGCTCACGCAGGCGCAAAGCGAGGTCAGCAGCGGGAGGACAGGACGGGCCTGCGGGACAGCTTCCCCGGCTCCGACACGGCCGCGGCTCTCTGTGCAGATCGGGCGTCTGGGGACTGGCTACAGGCCGTGCCGGCGCAGCGCCTCGAGCCCGGGCTCGGAGCGACGCCCCACGCGGCCCGCTCAGCGCCCGGCCCGCCTCAGGGCGCGACCGCCTGGAACCTCCTCCCCCCCGTGCCCCGGTGTCTTTGGTACGATCTGCCTTCCCCCTCCCGCCCCGGTGGTTCTGGTCCAGTCCCGCCCCGTCCCGCACCTCCGGTCGGGCCGCCTGCGTGCTGCTCCCGGCCCCGCCGCGCTCCACCGGAACTTCCGCCCGCGGGGTGGCGGCCGGGGCAGCGCGACGGAAGTGACGCTGCCCCCGGGTCGGCCATCTTGGCTGCGCCCCGCCCAAGCCGGAAGTGGTCTCGGCCGGCACGTGGGGCAGCGCCGGAAAACGCGGCGCTCGGCTCCTGCGCACGCACGGGAGAGGCAGCCGCGACCCGCCGCCCCCTCGAGCCCCGGTGAGGCCACTGCGGCTGCTCTGAACTCGGAAGCTTTATTGGCAATGAGAAGGGCACAGTTCGGCAGCAGAGTGGGCAGGCCCGGCCGTTCAGCACCGGCGCTCCACCCCGGCACACCGGGGCATGGTCGCAGTCCCCGGGGCCTCGGGCACCGTCTCTGTCCGTGTCCGTTTCCAGCCCCAAGCACAGAGCAGTGCCACAGTCAAGAGATGCAGTGGCTCTGAGGGGTGACCTGCTGCAGCCGGTGGTCAGCCGGGTTGGGTGATGCTTCATAGTTGCAGATGGTGACCTTGTGGCGGTGCGCCTGAATGGGGACACGTCAGTGGCACTTAATTCCTTCCTGCTCCCCACCTCACAGATCTATCTCAACCCTTCCCACCCCTTCCCAAGAGCCAGAGTTCAGCTTAAGCCGTGATTAAAGCTCTTCATGCACCAGTAGCGCAGTCCTGCTTGTCTTGGCTCTCACCTCCGTCCATTCTCCTTTCAGACCAATGTAAAATATCTTCATTGTCTCGGCTCCAAAGTTCTTTGGGAAGTACATGGAGAGGTCATGGACATTGGAGAAGCGAGCAATTCTGGAAGAAAACAGACGGACAGCAGAGCCTGCACACATCAGGCATGGAGCGAACAGCTGAGGTTGCAGATGCAACTTTTCCCCTCCCCGCAGTGCATATCTGTCACCACCAGCAGCCATGGGCAGAACTGCATGGGCCAGGTCCATACTTGGTGGGGTACTCGAGCTGGCCCACAGGGTCAGGGTTGAGGCTGAACGTCTGCTCTGGCTCCCGGGCAGCATCATCAAAGGACATGTGAGGAATATTCTTGAACCTAGGAACAGACAGAAGAAACCCAGAAAGTTATTAAAGTGCAGTATCACTAATGCGCTCCCTCCCCACATATTAATGCTTTCTGGATCCCCCTCAGCAATAAGGCAGTGCTTTGCCTTCTGCAGCAGAAATTACCAATGCCATCACAAAGCACCACCACAGTCCCAAGCACCAGGAGCAGGCTGGGTTCAGTGCAGCTCACAGCTGTGGCACGAGCAGCCACGTTCACTCACATACGAGCTCCAGCTTCTTTCTCCTCGTGGCTCCGGGCTTCTGCCCAGTACCCAGGCACCGCATTGACCTGTAGCTAAAGAACAGCGCAGCCCAGCAGTGTTACTCACAGCCGCAGCTCAGAGGGGTGCGAGTCATCGTCCTCCCCCATCACGATGACGGCCTTCAGCTTCACGCTGCCTGTGAACCTGGTGGGAGGGAGCACAGCAGAGCGGTGACAATTGCGCACCGCAGCCTCTCACCACCTCTCGCCCGCCCGGGCCGCGCACTCACGGGACGTTGAAGAGCAGTTCCGCGTCCTCGTCGCTCTCCACGAACTGCGGGCGGAAGAGCGGCTCAGGACGGGCCCGGCCTCACCGGCACCGCCCACACGCCCCGGTACCGCACCTGCTCGCGGTCGCCGCGATCCTCCCAGGCACGGAAAACGCGGGCGCCGCTACCCTCGCGTCGCTCGTTGAGGCACTGCAACCGCCCGCGGTCGATGCGCAGATGCAGGCCCCAGGCCGCGCCCCGCTCCCCGCCGTCCGCGCCGCAGCACCGGCAGCGCCCGGGCCCGTGTCCTTCCGCCATGCCCGCAGAGTCACGCCCACCCCGAGCCACGCCCCCCAAACAAACATCCGAGCCGCCCAATCACACCGCGCCCCCTGCAGGCATCGCTCGCCCGTCGGCCCCGCCCAAAAGCCGTGTGCTGGGGGCGGGGCCGCGCATGCTCAGAAAGGAACAGGCGGCCGGGCGTCCAGTGTTTGGGTTTTATTGAGACACGATTGTTCTTCTTTTTCATATAACTTATCTAATTAAAATATTCATCTTAGTTACCACAAAAAAAAAGAACATAGAAAATTGTATATACACATCGGGGACAAAAATACAAACACGTGTCAGAGTCACTCCCACCCCGGCCGCAGCGGGGCGGGCAGCGCTGCTCAGGGCCATCGCTGCAGCTGGACGGACTGCGCGAGGCCGAGGGCCGGCAGTGGGGGATCCGACACCCTCCTGCCGTGGGGCGTGGGATCCCTCCAGCTGGGAACAGGGGGACAAATGAGGATGGAGGAGGGACGGGTCCCAGGGGCTGGATATGGTCACAGCTCAGCACCTGCAGCCAGGCCCAAAGCCAGAGCTGTGCCCCAGGGTAAGAACCGGGAGCACAAGGGGCAGCAGAAGGTTGTGAATTGTCATGGAATTAGAAGTACAGCCAAATTAAATACAGCGAACTGCAGGAGCCGGGAGCAATTATCTTACAGCAGGATGCACTGAAATGCTACACTGTAACATTGAAGCACCTCAGACCGTAACAAACATACAGCACAGAAGAGCTGAAAACACCTTCCCAAGACCTTCAACACAAGAAAAAACTCAACAGAGGACACTGAGAATGGATTAAAACAGAGCAAAAGGAAGGAAACCAGAAGCAGCAGGGTCGTTCCTAAAGCCACCCAGGGAGGACACTCCCCAGAGAGGAGCCCTGGGCAGCGACCCCCAACCAGCAACCCCTACTGTGATCACCTGCACCTTTTTCACCCAAAGGCCTGGGGCAACGAACACAGCCCAGAGCCTCCCCTCTTCCCCAGCCCCCTGTGCACCACTCCAGCACTGTGCAAGCAGGTCCCACCTGCTTCCAGAGGCTGCAACTCTGCTCGCGCTGCCTCCAGCTGAGGCTGTTCCAAGGCAGATGTACCCCACTGTAAGGCTGCACGAGCCATAGCAGTGCTGCAGCGAGCCCTGGAATCACACCTCACACCCTGGCACCTTGCAACGCAGCCACCAGCTGGCATTCCAGACACTGAATACAGCCGGGAGTTCAGCGCTCCTGCCATGAAGTACGTGCACATTAAAACCAACACATTCCATGATGCAGTTCTTTCAAACAAGCGGTTCCAGATTCTAAGACTAAAATCCTCACTCTTTCTGAAGTTGGGCAGAGAAGAACACACAGGGGAAGGACAAGATTTGAGCACCAGCCTCCAACTGGAAACAAACCTTCCCAGTTCCACACAGAAAACAAGATAAAAATATTCCTTCTTACCATTAAAAGAGGCAAAGCAGTGCCTCAATGATGTCTAAAAACTATTTTTAATTCCAGAGGCAGACAAAGTCCACTCCCTTAAAATGAAAAGGAAAAATACTCCTCGGTGCACAGTAAAACTTCTCCTCAAACCCTTCGTCTTTTTATTCCCAGTAGCCAGCAGAAAACAGCAGCAGCAGAGAAAGAGTCCTCAGTGGCTCCTGGCATCCCTGACCAGCAACATAAGCTTCTGTTCGAGATCTACAGTAACAGCAGAGAAGAGGTCAAGAGCTAAGATTTTATTAAGTTACACGATTAGAGAGCAAAGCCTCAGGACCTGATCTGCTTGCCAATGGACTGTTGAGCAGAAGGGTAACCAGTGCCATCTGTCCCAGAGTCCAGACGGGACTCCGGGCCCAGCAGGTATCAGGCTACAAGGACAGGATCCTTTGAGAAGCATCTCCCATTCGGATAGATTCCTGCCAGTGCAGCCAGGGCCTGCCCTTGTGCTGGGCTGGGAGGGGGGAGACTACTGGAAGCGACATAAATAGTACCAGTGGGGTGAGGGGTGAAGAATTAATTAAAACCATTTCATAATTTATTAAGAGGTTAAATAGTAAATAGTCTCTGGATTTTCTACTCTCAGCAGGTGCCAAGACTTCACATTTTCTCACATCTGGAGATCCTGTACATCTTTCTTTAGAGAGAAGACAAGGCCAGAAACAGGAGGTTAGGGAGAAGGGATGAGAATAAAAGATAAAATACTGTGCTGTCATTTTGTGCAGATCAAAGTCTCTCCCAGCAGCTGCAGCCTCCGCAGAGTTCAAAGGACTTGGGCTGTTTTGGTACCTTCTCCCCCATCAGTGCCACTCCCCCACGAAAGAGAAAAATCCCAGCTCTGTGCTTCCAACCTATCTCCTAGAGAACCTGTTTTTGAAAGCTTTGATAGTCTTTGCCATCATGGGTGCAATTTCTGCAAAACAGGAGGAAAAAAAGAATAAACAAAAATCAACGTTAAAGCAGAGGTTACAGACAAGAAAGCAGGAAGTGATTCAGAGCTGCAGCCCTGGCCAATGAAGGCCTGCAGTGCCCATCTTATTTTCAGGTCACGGACAGAGGAGGGCCCACACATCCTCGGTAAACTCACTGCCTTCTTCTGAAAAGAGCGAGCTTTTCTTTATTACAAGCAGCTGGATGGAACAAAGACAGCACAAGGGAAAGGGCAAGCAGGTGAAGCAAAGAAAGAGTGGAGCACAGCAGCTTTCTTAAATACTGCCAGGACCTCCAGAGAGCCCAAAGCAAACTCCAGGCCCCACATCCCGACCCTGCACCTCCAGATTTTCCTTGTGCTTCTTCTTGTGCAAGAAGTTTGAACTGACTTCACTATCCTCTCCGCAGGGAGAGGACAGCTCTCGACCCTCCCCCACAGCCCGGATTTCTCTTGCAGCAGAAAGTCGATTCATCCATGTGCAAAGGAGAAGCTATAGGAGACCACAGATGCTCTGCAGCTTGTACTTACTCTTCACTGGTGGCTTCCTAGGGTCATAGGATGAGAAGGTGCTGCCTGATGATGGGACAGAATGGGCACTGCTGGTGCTGGGCCCATCATAGGACCGCTCCTCGCTCACGCGAGCATGGCTTTTGCCAGATGTGTAGAGGACTGGTTTTATTCTGAAACAAAGACAGGGCAGGTATTTCAGTAAAGGCATCACAGCAGTTTGATGCAGTTCATCAGACAAATGAGCCACATTTGTTAATACTAACATGTCTTTTATCACACAAAGCCAGCACTAACTAGGATCTCCATTCTTCCCTGTAAGAAAAAAGCCATTA